CTCTATGCAATGTGACGGTCAGTAATATAAAGCAGACATTTCTCTATGCAATGTGACGGTCAGTAAGACAGATAAAGCAGACATTTCTCTATGCAATGTGACGGTCAGTAAGATAAAGCAGACATTTCTCTATGCAATGTGACGGTCAGTAAGATAAAGCAGACATTTCTCTATGCAATGTATAAAGAAGACTTTTCTCTATGCAATGTGACGGTCAGTAAGACAGATAAAGCAGACATTTTTCCCATGCTATGTGACGGCTAGTAGTATAAAGCAGAAATTTTTCTGTGCATTGATTATTTATCTCGTCGTTTTGTCTTGTTGTGTTTTTATAACAACAGAAGAAAGAACTGCGTGGAAAATATTACAGTAAAGTTTCCTTTTTTCATACCTGCCCGTCTATCGGGCAAGTAGAGTTCACCTGTTTTTGTTACCTCGGCATTTGAAGGGATAGTGTGGTCAGGACTAAGCCGGATTCGAACTCGGGACTTACGGGTTTGCAGTCACACCGTCGCAAGCGGTGAATACTAATGTAAACATACTCATTCAATGTTCATTTTACGTCCGCTTTAAAATTAGGATTACTGTTGTTACAGGTAGGTTCATTAATGTCAATAAAACAACAATTGTTTTATTTGAAAACATCAAAACACGACGTCACTTCCTGTTTAGAAATGTACCACGATTAACAAAGGAAACAAACTTGGAATATTATAAAATATTTATAACCTTGACTTAGATTGTACTCGGTATAAATAGAGCTCTTCAACCAAAGCTAACGACTCTCGAAGTTTTCAACATCTTAAAAACTAGTCTAAGTTTTGTTTCAAGTCATAAAAAAAATGAAAGATAAGTTTTTTTTTTAGCAAGATCTAAAACCGAGTCTTTGTTTCTTTGTCGTCAACAGTGAAGGCAATAGTTGTAGTAAAATGGTTGTAATAATGGTTGTAATAAAATGTGGTTGTTGTGTGGATGGTGCTGGGAGGCTAGAACGAATACAATTAAACGGTGCGAGAAGGTAAACAATGGTATCGCGGCAGTTATCTACAACCGCATACAACAGCACTAGAAACGGAAATAGCTATTGACGTCTTTGTAATTGTTCGACTTCGTTTATTTGGCGTCTTTGTCATTGTTCGACAGAGGCGTAGCTACCTATACCCGCGCTGGGGGTGAACTATCAATCCCCCAACTACCCCGCCCATGTATATATAGTTAGTCAATTTGGTTTAAAAACGCCCCCCCCCCCCCTTAACTTGGAAAGTTGGGTTGGGTGCCCATTTAACCAGTCTCTATCCTGTAACTGTTTTTATTTTGATGTCACACAGTTAATCTAGAAAATACATCTACACAGCCAATGAGTAGTCTTGTTTTTCTAAATTTAGACTGTATAATTCAGTATCGCAGCTCAGAATCAACTTTTTATCTAATTTTTCAACCCATTTTGCGCCCCCGGAGGTCGGCGCTCGGGGCCCCACCCGCCCTCTCCTAGCTACGCCTCTGTTGTTCGACTTTGCAATTGACGTCTTTGTAATTGTTGGACATTAGCTCGCAGTTGTCGAGCTTAATCTGAAATGCCAGCAAATACTCAAGCGTATGTCTGGAAGAGGGTATCACGTTTTGACATTTAAATACACAACTCACTCACAAAACCAATGTTGAATATCAAGTCAAACCAATCATGATAGCATAAATGTATGGTAGTTAAATACTATTTTACAATCTACGATAAAATATAAATATTTTTTTTATATAACCATAAAGTTCCCTTTTTGAACTTGACGGTCCATGAGGCAAGTGAAGTAGAGTTCACCTGTTTCTGTGACCTTAGCATATGAAGGGCTAGTGTGTCAGCGCTACGTTCAGTCCCTTTTACTTTCCTTAGCATACGTTAGGTACCCATCAGAGCTGGGTGGACTCAGGGACGCTCTACTGACTTGAAACCAGATTCGAACTCGAGACTTTCGGGTAAGCAGTCTAAAGGAGTGTTTTGAATTGATCTTTCCTAGACCGAGAACCACGTTCAATAGTTACAGATTGCAAGCATTACACATTTGAATACACGATGGTGCAACTGATTGGAAACTAGAAAGGGGATGATGTTGCAAAAGGACATCACAGTGCTGGACAGTGCTGTATCCGGTGGTATAATTGATGGCAGTCGTTACTCTAAAAATCATGTACAGAATAACACAGTTAGACAGGAGAGGGGAAGAGGTGACACCAGTTTAATTTACAAGTATAATTATTTGAATTGCAAATATGTATTAAATAATTACATACTGATACATGTATATATAGATAATATATATGTATGTATATATATATATATATATATATATATATATATATATATATATATATATATATATATATATATATATATATATATACCCCGTACCAAGTGAATCCCAGAAAAGACTGTACTGGCTAGTTTGCATTAGCCCCAACAGACGGGAAGATAAGTCGATTGACAAGCGAGAACAAGCCAGCATTACACGGGTCTACCCGCTGAGTCAGCGTTTAGCTATTTCTGATATACATTTTTTATTTCTTGTCCTCTACCCAGATGTCCTTGTATAACTGGTAACGTGACATTTTTTTGTCCAGTCTTTGTAAAGAATCCTCGTCAGACGGTTTTTTTAGGGGGGTGAAAATGTTCACGATCTATGGAAGGGGAGATGATAACACAGGGCGAAGGGAGATAATTGATGGGCGACACTTTAATGACTGCAGATAATAATATCGTCTGCTTGGCGAGGACAGGCGGAGAGCTCTGATCCCGGGGCGCGTGCCGAGGAAAGATCAGCTCGCTTAAGTGGTCGTCACAGGCGCTAGTCGTATGTCGCCTGGGTCAGCGTGCTGGATTTGTGGGGAAAGGTTGGGTGAGGGGGGGGGGGGATCAACTGGAGGCGCTAGTCGTATGTCGCCTGGGTCAGCGTGCTGGATTTGTGGGCAAAGGTTGGGTGAGGGGGGGGGGGGGGGATCAACTGGAGGCGCTAGTCGTATGTCGCCTGGGTCAGCGTGCTGGATTTGTGGGCAAAGGTTGGGGGTGAGGGATGAACTGGGTACGACTTTGTGGGGTGGAGGGATGGTGGGACGACGGTGGATCACATGGGTAAGGTTATGGGTGGGGTAGGTGTTTGTGGGTAAGGGGTGATCTATACCCAAGCGTTTCTTCCAAGCTAACAGCGTGACTATGTCAAACAGAAATAACTGACGGTTTCCATTTTGAAACATAGCCACTATACTTGAGGATAAAACATCCAGTGCTTCAACTTATTACCTCATTCATGAGATAATTATTTTATATCTCACTCGCTAGATACTATCCTCATACCTCATTCATAAGATTCAGGTTTTATACCACACTCGTTTGATACTATCGTTATAAGATAATTATATCCAATCTTCCGTTTTCATTCTCTCTTTAGTCAGCACTTTTTTTGTCTTTACTTAAGAAGTTGAAGGTTAGAAAACTAGATTGCTTCAAGTCTAATTGGTCACTTAAAATGTTGGCACGTGAATTGAACTCGAGTACAGAATATTGTTTTCACTTGTTTAAATCAGTTCTCTGTAATCCATTAAATTGTTGAATCTATTTGACACGAGAGCATGCTGTAGTCTTTAGAAGACTAGACAGTTATTAGTAATGTTAATTAAATAATTAAGTGGGGCGGTTTTAGCCACCCCGCCTACTGTTTCCAGACAATAATAATTAGCACTGCACTAATGAGCTGCAGACAGGTAGTCGTGAAGTAACTAATTAGTTCTTAATTACACATTTTAAAAGTAGCTGCAGGAAGAAATCAATTAAAGATGGACGAAAAAAAGGGCACAAAAATAAATTTAAACTCTCGGATACAAATCAGTTAACATTCAAGTCTGGGAGGTTGATTAAATTTGAAGGAACGTGGGCTGCGACTAATTAATTTTATTATTAAAATGATATTCTTCACTAATTCCATCTGAATATTTGATTGAAGCAAGTCTGGAGAAACCTGCAATGTGCGTCAGTTGAAATGTGCGATACATTTTTAGACGGTTTATTGGACGTAAATAGAGTAGGCGTTGATTGATAGCGCCTAATTTATTATCGACGAAGAACTAATTTATAAAGAAACATTGACCAGTCTCAATGAAGTTACTTTTTAAAATGTTGGTGTCAGGAAGTTTACCGTAAAAAAGTGGCATTTTTTTATACGGTTAAAAATGTCGTTAGAGAAAGGTAAAAAGGTGAGCTTGAAAAACAAGACAGGTGGGGCAGGTGGGTTGACTTACCTGGGGAATACTAAACAAGACAGGTGGGGTAGGTGGGTTGACTTACCTGGGGAATACTAAACAAGACAGGTGGGTTGACTTACCTGGGGAATACTAAACAAGACAGGTGGGGCAGGTGGGTTGACTTACCTGGGGAGTACTAAACAAGACAGGTGGGTTGACTTACCTGGGGAATACTAAACAAGACAGGTGGGGCAGGTGGGTTGACTTACCTGGGGAATACTAAACAAGACAGGTGGGGCAGGTGGGTTGACTTACCTGGGGAATACTAAACAAGACAGGTGGGGCAGGTGGGTTGACTTACCTGGGGAGTACTAAACAAGACAGGTGGGTTGACTTACCTGGGGAATACTAAACAAGACAGGTGGGGCAGGTGGTTTGACTTACCTGGGGAATACTAAACAAGACAGGTGGGGCAGGTGGGTTGACTTACCTGGGGAATACTAAACAAGACAGGTGGGGCAGGTGGGTTGACTTACCTGGGGAATACTAAACAAGACAGGTGGGTTGACTTACCTGGGGAATACTAAACAAGACAGGTGGGGCAGGTGGGTTGACTTACCTGGGGAATACTAAACAAGACAGGTGGGGCAGGTGGGTTGACTTACCTGAGGAATACTAAACAAGACAGGTGGGTTGACTTACCTGGGGAATACTAAACAAGACAGGTGGGTTGACTTACCTGGGGAATACTAAACAAGACAGGTGGGTTGACTTACCTGGGGAATACTAAACAAGGCACTAAGTATCCAGGCAAACAGGATCATGATCCTCACTCTCTGGGCGGCACCGTTACGCCGCATGGGGTCAAGGATGGCCACACAACGGTCCAGTGAGATGGCCACAGTGATGTAGGTGGACAGGTAGAGGGCGAACACCTGGGGAGAGAGGCAGAGTTACGTCACTGTTAGGACAGGTAGAGGGCGAACACCTGGGGAGAGAGGTAGAGTTACGTCACTGTTAGGACAGGTAGAGGGCGAACACCTGGGGAGAGAGGTAGAGTTACGTCACTGTTAGGACAGGTAGAACACCTGGGGAGAGAGACAGAGTTACGTCACTGTTAGGACAGGTAGAGGGCGAACACCTGGGGAGAGAGGTAGAGTTACGTCACTGTTAGGACAGGTAGAACACCTGGGGAGAGAGACAGAGTTACGTCACTGTTAGGACAGGTAGAGGGCGAACACCTGGGGAGAGAGGCAGAGTTACGTCACTGTTAGGACAGGTAGAGGGCGAATACCTGGGGAGAGAGACAGAGTTACGTCACTGTTAGAACAGGTAGAGGGCGAACACCTGGGGAGAGAGGTAGAGTTACGTCACTGTTAGGACAGGTAGAGTTACGTCACTGTTAGAACAGGTAGAGGGCGAACACCTGGGGAGAGAGGTAGAGTTACGTCACTGTTAGAACAGGTAGAGGTAAACACCTGGGGAGAGAGGTAGAGTTACGTCACTGTTAGAACAGGTAGAACACCTGGGGAGAGAGGCAGAGTTACGTCACTGTTAGAACAGGTAGAACACATGGGGAGAGAGGCAGAGTTACGTCACTGTTAGGACAGGTAGAGGGCGAACACCTGGGGAGAGAGACAGAGTTACGTCACTGTTAGGACAGGTAGAGGGCGAACACCTGGGGAGAGAGACCGAGTTACGTCACTGTTAGACAGAGAAAGTTAGGATGGTTGAGTTATAGGGTAGGTAACATTACAATGTGTAGGTAGCAATACCTGAGATAGGTAACATTACAATGTGTAGGTAGCAATACCTGAGATAGGTAACATTACAATGTGTAGGTAGCAATACCTGAGATAGGTAACATTAGCAGGGGTTATGATAGCAGTAGCTGGGTAATGGTAGCAGTTACTGGATTATGGTAGAAGTAGCTGGGTTATGGTAGCAGTACCTATGGCAGGTAGCTGATGTTACTATGATCGGTTAGGTGCATGGGCGAATGACAGTACCTTATGTATGAGGGAGTAACTAGGGTAGTTTAATGTCTTGATGGTGAACAACACCGAGTTGATACCTTCATCAAATGAAACAGTAACGCCCTAAATCCGATGGTTCCATTATATTTTCAGATGGTTAAAGATGATACATTATCATATTTGTTTTTATGCTCTGGTTTTAATTATATTCAAGAGTTCGGAATATAAAATTCAACACTGAACAAAAGAACAAACAAAAACACACATATCAAGAACGCTAAAACAATATTGAAATAATGACGCCGACAAAAATCTTTGCCATCGGCAAATGTTTGAATTCAATTTCGCAACCAGAATGTTTTTACTATCTCATTGTTTTATGCATTCGATTCACATTTTTCACAATCAAGTATAATTTTTTTTAAAATTCTTTCGCACATTTCCCCAAGGCAGTTTCCCCATAAATTGTCCCAATTACTTTTTTGAAATTATTTTTCTATATTTTAGTGCAAAGTCATTAATAACCGAACAATACCAGGGATAAGGAGGGGGAAAAAATTCATTGGCTAGCGTTATTGTAAACTTTACTAACATTAAGTAATGATCAGCTGGTGAGAAGTGTTGTTTAGGTCATGGCTTAGTGTTGTTGATGTATGAGTTAGGTCATGGCTTAGTGTTGCTGATGTATGGGTTAGGTCATGGCTTAGTGTTGCTGATGTATAGGTTAGGTCATGGCTTAGTGTTGCTGATGTATGGGTTAGGTCATGGCTTAGTGTTGCTGATGTATGGGTTAGGTCATGGCTTAGTGTTGCTGATGTATGAGTTAGGTCATGGCTTAGTGTTGCTGATGTATGGGTTAGGTCATGGCTTAGTGCTGCTGATGTATGGGTTAGGTCATGGCTTAGTGTTGCTGATGTATGGGTTAGGTCATGGCTTAGTGTTGCTGATGTATGGGTTAGGTCATGGCTTAGTGTTGCTGATGTATTGGTTAAGTCATTGCTTAGTGTTGCTGATGTATGGGTTAGGTCATGGCTTAGTGTTGCTGATGTATGGGTTAGGTCATGGCTTAGTGTTGCTGATGTATGGGTTAGGTCATGGCTTAGTGTTGCTGATGTATTGGTTAAGTCATCGCTTAGTGTTGCTGATGTATGGGTTAGGTCATGGCTTAGTGTTGCTGATGTATGGGTTAGGTCATGGCTTAGTGTTGCTGATGTATGGGTTAGGTCATGGCTTAGTGTTGCTGATGTATGGGTTAGGTCATGGCTTAGTGTTGCTGATGTATGGGTTAGGTCATGGCTTAGTGTTGCTGATGTATTGGTTAAGTCATGGCTTAGTGTTGCTGATGTATGGGTTAGGTCATGGCTTAGTGTTGCTGATGTATTGGTTAAGTCATGGCTTAGTGTTGCTGATGTATGGGTTAGGTCATGGCTTAGTGTTGCTGATGTATGGGTTAGGTCATGGCTTAGTGTTGCTGATGTATGGGTTAGGTCATGGCTTAGTGTTGCTGATGTATGGGTTAGGTCATGGCTTAGTGTTGCTGATGTATGAGTTAGGTCATGGCTTAGTGTTGCTGATGTATGGGTTAGGTCATGGCTTAGTGCTGCTGATGTATGGGTTAGGTCATGGCTTAGTGTTGCTGATGTATGGGTTAGGTCATGGCTTAGTGTTGCTGATGTATGGGTTAGGTCATGGCTTAGTGTTGCTGATGTATTGGTTAAGTCATGGCTTAGTGTTGCTGATGTATGGGTTAGGTCATGGCTTAGTGTTGCTGATGTATGGGTTAGGTCATGGCTTAGTGTTGCTGATGTATGGGTTAGGTCATGGCTTAGTGTTGCTGATGTATTGGTTAAGTCATGGCTTAGTGTTGCTGATGTATGGGTTAGGTCATGGCTTAGTGTTGCTGATGTATGGGTTAGGTCATGGCTTAGTGTTGCTGATGTATGGGTTAGGTCATGGCTTAGTGTTGCTGATGTATGGGTTAGGTCATGGCTTAGTGTTGCTGATGTATGGGTTAGGTCATGGCTTAGTGTTGCTGATGTATTGGTTAAGTCATGGCTTAGTGTTGCTGATGTATGGGTTAGGTCATGGCTTAGTGTTGCTGATGTATTGGTTAAGTCATGGCTTAGTGTTGCTGATGTATGGGTTAGGTCATGGCTTAGTGTTGCTGATGTATGGGTTAGGTCATGGCTTAGTGTTGCTGATGTATGGGTTAGGTCATGGCTTAGTGTTGCTGATGTATGGGTTAGGTCATGGCTTAGTGTTGCTGATGTATGGGTTAGGTCATGGCTTAGTGTTGCTGATGTATGGGTTAGGTCATGGCTTAGTGTTGCTGATGTATGGGTTAGGTCATGGCTTAGTGTTGCTGATGTATGGGTTAGGTCATGGCTTAGTGTTGCTGATGTATGGGTTAGGTCATGGCTTAGTGTTGCTGATGTATGGGTTAGGTCATGGCTTAGTGTTGCTGATGTATGGGTTAGGTCATGGCTTAGTGTTGCTGATGTATGGGTTAGGTCATGGCTTAGTGTTGCTGATGTATGGGTTAGGTCATGGCTTAGTGTTGTTGATGTATGGGTTAGGTCATGGCTTAGTGTTGCTGATGTATGGGTTAGGTCATGGCTTAGTGTTGCTGATGTATGGGTTAGGTCATGGCTTAGTGTTGCTGATGTATGGGTTAGGTCATGGCTTAGTGTTGCTGATGTATGGGTTAGGTCATGGCTTAGTGTTGTTGATGTATTGGTTAAGTCATGGCTTAGTGTTAATGATGTATGGGTTATGTCATGGCTTAGTGTTGCTTATGTATGGGTTAGGTCATGGCTTAGTGTTGCTGATGTATGGTTTAGGTCATGGCTTAGTGTTGCTGATGTATGGGTTAGGTCATGGCTTAGTGTTGCTGATGTATGGGTTAGGTCATGGCTTAGTGTTGCTCAGCTGTTAACCCGAAAGTCTCCCTTTTGAATCCCGGGCTCGAGTCATGGGCGTCCTTGACTCAAGCTAGTGAACGTAAAAGGGGCTGGTGCATATTGCTGACGCCTTTATACTCCCATGTGTGAGATTAGAGAAACAGATCACCTCTACTTCATCTGCCCAAGAGACCGCCAGGTTCTTAAAAGTACTAATCAATGGCCCACAATCAAATACATGCCATCCCTATTTCACGCACTTTATTTCTTATTTTAGTTGCGACAACTCGCCTTTCATAAAATCCAACTACAGCAAAATGCCAAGTGTGCAGAAACGTGTAAATGTAAGGTGGGGTTATTTCAATTGGTAATGGGATCGTTAGATACTTAACCAGCTTCTGGCTAAATGCTGGCTTTTGTGCTGAATTATGGGAGAAATATTCGTCTCGCTTCGGTAGACATTCGCGGGTTTTTTCCACGGTTGGTTGAGATTATTTGAATTTGAATGACAAGAGGCGATTTAGAGATGGGTTATAAAAGTGGATGGTTTCTGGTTTTAATTCCAATATGCAACAATATTTTATATTATTTTATGTAGATGTTTGAAATATAGACAGGTTGTAACGTGTAGCGGGGGTAAAGGCAAGTATCTATTTTTGTTCTTAAAAAGCACCAAAAAAAACGAGAACATAAAATTAAATAATAAACATAAAATCAAAATAAAACTTTTGTACCGATCAAGTCACTTTGGTTTTATAACCAACCTCCTGTTCATAAGCAGAATAATTCAGCTCTTAATGTTAAACACGATAAAAACATACGGTAATGCACTATCATAATAACAATTACATAATTAAGTAAAAACTAAAAGAGGCGCCACCAAGCAAACTATAGGATACAATTTTATTCACCAATCAACCACCTACACGGCTATATATGTCTGGATTCCAAACGTTAAATAAAGCTGTAGCCCAAATATCGCCCGATCATTGGTAGCGTACTCCATAGGGACTTCAATATACGCCATCCCCAATATCAAATAAAGAAATTATGATCCCC